TGGCATTCATACTGTTTCTCATGTGTCTGTTTTCTCTCCTGCTGATTAAACTTAGAAGTTGGACTGAAAGTTTTTCTGCACATGCAACCTTCATATGGCTTCTCTACTATGTTAGTTTTGGTGTGACTTCTAAGCTCAGCATAACTTGGAAAGCTTTTACCACCTTGATGACATTTGTTTGAATGTATTCCAGATTCAGTTATTTTGTTTCTTCTATGCAGGGATTCATTGTTGTAGGTTTTGCAACACAGATGATTTTCACAGGTATTTTCCCGAATATTTTTCCATTCCTGTAGTATAAGTTTTAAAGTTTGATTAATGTCTTTGCCACATAAATTTCGTAAGAACATTTGTTATCTAGTGTGTATAGCTTATGATTCATGAGACCAGAACTTGGAGGAAATATTTTCTCAATAATATAAAAATCATATCACTACTCTCCACTGTGAATCATACCAAACTTTCTAAGGTGTGACCAGCTTTGAATATATTTCTCATTAGATCTTCATATGAATATGCCATGATGAAATTTTGTTTTCTGTGTCCATGTATGACTACTGACTATGAGTTTATTCTTACAGTAAGTTTATACAATGTTTATGTGTGGTGAGAATTAAGAAGTGAGGAGTCAAGGCCAAGCAGTGATTAAAGAATTCCTTTACACAAATTGAGAGGATATTTTTGTTCCAGGGATCAAACTTAAGACCTTGCACTTGCAAGGCAGGCAGGGCACCACTGAGCTAAACCCCTGGCCCTGAAAGGAGTTTTTGACAAAAGCTTATATTTTGGAAGAAAATCACTTGTTGTTCATAATATACCCAGGTATATTTGTATGGTATTTTCTCCATATGAGAATTCCCAAATAAATACTGAAATCTAGAGATATGGGTTTTTATTTTTCCTTACATAAGCATGTGACATTTCTATCAGTTATGTAAATTATTTTTTATTTGTAATATCAAATCCAATGACATTTTTATTTCATTTTGGATCTTGGATACCTTTGCAAGTGTATCTACAATATTGTTACTTTTTTCTGAGTTCACAAAGTGGTTCTCCACTCATCTTAATTTAGCTAAGTGCAAAATTCTCAGAGCCTCTATCTCAGAAGGGGTTAATCTCATCTAAATTTCAGTAAGGCAACTAAGCTCAATTTTTAATTTATCCCAATAAAACTTCTTTCATTTAGATAATAAGTGTTATTGTATATAAACTTACCATTACCTTGATGGTGGGTGTGTCATTTCTTCCAATGAGCTGAGTCCTTATCCTTTCTAGTATTTTTTGAGCACCCTTTCTTTCTGTGGTGTTTAAAATAACAAAGAATTAATAGTATTTTAGGAAAATGGAAATGATCAAATGCACCAAGGCACAGTATATGTTGATCTTGAAATGACAGGTAGTTCAGTGTAATAAAATTAAATTTCACCAAAGAGACAAATCTAAAGTCTTACAAAAACTTATGAAGATTGAAATATAAAGTATTGATTGATCAGTGGATTATAAAAGTTATAATGAGGAAACCTAAATATACCTGGAATCAAATGGAAACTGAAACAAAAAAATTTGAAAATACAGGACATCTTGAAGGAGGTTGCAAACAGAAATCTGTAGATATAACTGACTGGATTAACCATTCAAAGGATTTCAATAAACACTACAGGTGTATACGTCCAATGCCTTGAAATAACAAAAACAAAGAAAAGGCAGATCCCAAAAATAGAAAATACATAATAAGCTGCTGAGCTGAAATTAATTAGAGATACAAATAGCAAT